TTTTGCGTTCGGTTCATCAAGGAGTGTTAAAAAAACACTTTAAATCTAAAAAAAGCGTTTTTATGTTCCTATAAAAACCATTCAAATTTAATACAGACAATGTGATGGCAGGCAATGATCTAAGAAAACCAAATGATTTATATTCCAAAATTTGGACATTGTGGTAAAGCTTTTATCATTTTTATTGTTACTAGACTGTAACTCATAACAAATCGTTTTATTGATTAAGTAAAAGCAATTTTTTTGAAAAGCTTTGAAACAGGCAACCAAGCGTCTCAATAATTTTGAAAAACGAATGAACTTAGTTGACTTAATAAATAGCCGTTTGACATCAGTCAAAACTCCTATAATTAGCTATAAAAGTCTTGATTAATCAATTTAAAAAAATTGCTTAGCATCAATCGAATTCTCAACATGCTAAATGACAGCTAATTGACAGTCATATTTGCATAAAATAGTTTTTCGATCTTGAATAAAAGCATGATTTTTAATCAAATTCCATTTGTATAATAAAAGCTCTCAATTGCTCTGAGTATTTCACAGAAAATGTATTTGCTCAAATACAAAAAAAATATGTAGATTGACATAAATTGCAATTTGAATTGCAAACTTGCTCATATTAGCAGGGTAATCTTTTCACCAGCGCGTAATTGCAAATACCACAACTAAACTTAAAAATGGTTTGTTATCCCAAATTGGCATTTTTCGGGCTGCCTAAAATTTAGAAAAAACTGATTGAAATTTTAATTTTGAGCTCAAGAAATTAATATTTGTAAAATTGTATACAATATTTAGCCAGAATGTACTAGGTTACTTTAAATTAATCGGACAAAACAAACAGAATTGATTTTTTGAAACAGTTCCTCTCACATAAGTTTAACATTATTGTTCCGACTTTCGATACGAAAGTAACGGAATATTTGTGCTCGGGGTGGGTTTTTTTTTCTTCAGACAAATTTCGACTTTTTAACTAGCCATTTTTGACAGAATTTTTTAGATATCTTTCGAAAGGTATTGTTGTCCTGAGCTCAAATTTGAAAAGATATTTTACTTGTGATAATTTTTCGTAAAGTTGCGGGGGTTTAAAGATTGCCATTTTGGCCAACTTGGGACAATTAACGCGCGATATATTTCGCGCTATAAACGCGTAAGCGGAGAGTTAATCCGTCTTAGAAATCGTTCCAAATTGGTTAAAAGAAGCTTGTTTGCCATAAGTGGCTTGTTACAAGGAGCAAAATTTATCCTTTTGTACTTTATATGGCGTGTGGGGGATGATTTTCATAAAAAAATTTTAAATTTTAGAAAACTTTTTTTTTCATTTTCTTTTGTTTCATTGAATTTTTTAATGTAATTACTGCTCCACAAACCTTAAAGGGCAGTGGGAACATTCAGGGCTTCGCCCTGATACCAGCAGTCTTGTTTATTTAGAAATGTACCAGAATTTATACAGTGCAAAGCAAACTGTGAAATTTTGGCTCAAAAGAATATCAAAAAATTAGTCAATGTTTGCTCATTTAGGCATTCAAAATATACGCTAAAACTACCGAGTCTATAAGATTTTTATGAACCATGCGTTTATAAAAAAAAATATTTTTTTTGATCGCTTTTCGTGATAAAAATTCATTTTGGAAAACGAGCAGAACAATTCCGGGAAAAAAATAGTAGATTAGTAGTCGCGAACCACTAATTTTGTAGTATTTCTAAGAAATAGAGCAATTTTTTAAAGACCTAGTCAAATAGAGCATAGATGCGTATTTGGCATTTCTGAGAAAAAGAACTGCAGCATTATTTTTTGATTTTAAAAAGATTTTTGAAAAAAATTGATAATTTCTGTCGTATGGTTGAAATCCTGCTCTATCTGCTGGTCTATAAAATATTCTGCTCTATACGCAAATTCTTTTACTTGTGCTAAATTTTGCTGCAAGCAGAATTTTTTGGGATCTGGCTATAATCTCATAATATTGTTTAAATAAAAAACATTTTCGTTCAATTGTCAAAATGTGTCAATTTTATTATATACATTTTTTTATATTTGAAAAGAATTTCTGATCATTTTGCTTAAAATAAACGAGGTTAAAAACTATTTAAACTTTGATGGGCTAGAAAGTTTGATTCTGATATAATTGATTCTGATAAAAAAATTTTCAGCTATTGACCCGATAGCTAGCTGCTATTTTTGCATTTTTTTGTTAATGAAAATAGGGAATCCAAAACAACACAGTATCTGTGTAAAATTGTGCGATTGTATCTCTGGTAGAGTTCTAAGCGTCTTTGCTTCTGACCACTTTTATCGTCTAGTGTTAACCTAATCCGAACAGCATTTAGAGCTTTGTTAGTTTTAGCCGGCTATTTTAAATTAGCATCGTCAGATAGTCTAAAGTGAAAAATTTAAACAACCTCACAAATTTTCGGGAAAGAAATAAAACTCTAGCAATTTATTTCTAAGCTTGCAATAACGGAACTGGCATAAACGACGGCTCAATAATTTGAAATGTTTTAAAACTGGGTTTTTTAAAATAAATATTCCACCAAAAAACTCAACAGCGCATCCTATGTTAAATGAACGCTTTGTTAAAACTGGAGGCAAGTCAATAAGCAGAACGGTCTAAAAGCAGAATGTGTCCAAGAAAAAGAAAACATTAAAAAATACTTCTTTGTTAAGCTAATCCGTAAATTAAGCACAAGAATTGTCAGTATTACCAAAAAAAACTTAAGTTTTTTGCAAAGTTTCATACTAAAACTTTATGTAATTTGAGTAACTTAATCGAGATTTTTTTTTAAATTCAAAAAAATAACTTTAGTCATGCATAACTTATTCATTGTTTTGGTATTATTGACGTTCCTACTATTTGTTTTTTATCATTTTACTCGCATAAATCATTTAAAAAATCAAATTTTTCTGTTTTTCTGCTCTTGGACCCATTGTTCTCTTAGACCAATCTAATTATTGCTCCGCCTCCATTCAAACTATGTTGTGGCAATGCATTTAGTTTCAACCAATCAGGTTCATTAGATTTAGTTTTGGTTTTTCACGATTTAAGAAAGTTAAAAAGACGCAAAATTGATAATACAGAATGTAATTAAGAAATTTGGCCAAACCTCAAATTTCGGACTCCAAAAGTTTCACGAGAAAAGCTGTTAAATTATTGCAAACTCTGAGCTCTCCTTGCTTAATAAGTCGTTACACTTAATAAACGTTATTACTAAAAATTTATTAAATTATAAACTTCTCAGAAAATGTATGCTTAGACTTAAAATTTTCAACCTTTTTTGGTGAAAGTTATCGTTAGCGACTTAGGTCTGAAGAAAACTCAAGGTTTTACTGTACGAATTGCTTTGTAACAGTTCAAATTTTTTTATTCTTGGTTTAACTTTAATTCCGTTCAACAGACGAGAAAAAACTATTGTAGTGTTATATCGTTTTGATCAAACAATCTCATTTATTGTTCCGACTTTTGAAGAAATGCGGAATTTTTATGCTTGGGGTAGTTTTTTGTTCTCAAGTTTCGGGCGATCGAAATAATAGTTTTTAACAAAAAATTATCATGCGCCATTGAAGATGTGAACTCCCAAAAATCAAATTTAAAATAATTAACCTCCGATCATTTCTTGCAAAGTTTTGATTCAAATGATACTTTTATAGCATTCATTATTACGTAGTTCTTAAATATATTTTATGAATCAGTTACGTGTTTTTGCCTGGGTTATATGGTGGCTGAATTGTAATTTGTCTGGCTTATATGCCACCTCAAGCTGGTTGTTTTCTATTATAAAGAAGAAAGAAAAAACTGGGCGGAGCTAAGCTCTTTCGTTTTCTATTAGAAAAAGGGCAGAAAATTTACAGTTTTGATTCAATCATTTTGTTTTGATCTGCCAAAAGAGTAGAACTTAAAATAGAGCTTTCATGTCAGTACTAGAGTTCCGAAGTATAGAAGTGCAGGAAACCGTTATCAAAACAAGGTATCTAAAGAAAATATGAAGCTGTAAAGCTAGGTCTCTAGCAAGAAAAAGCGGGAAAAATTTTGGAATTAATTCTTAGATCAATCAACGCAGTCAAACTTAATCCCTAAAATTGTTTATTAATTTTTTTTCCAGTGAACAATTACTACAGAAATCAGGAAAATGTCTCCATAAATATCTCGGTTCTAAAACTCGGAAAATGTCTCTGTTTTAAATCTCAATCAATCAAACCCGAAATTAAATAAATTTTAAAAAATGAACTAAAACTAAACTATTCGACAAACGTTACTAGGGCAATCATGAACACCCGAGCTGAGCTGATGATTTTGTATTATTTTACAAAGAGGTCAGAAAACAAAATGAGTTGAGCTGATCGGATCGATGCCCAAATTATTATATTTACCATCTCTATAAAGACAAAATTTTACAATGACTTTTGAAAAAAAAAACGGGTCAAAATTGACGTTTTAGAGTATTTTTCCAACGTTTTTACCACGATATTGACTTTTCAGCGTCCCCCTAAATTAGCAGACTGAAGCCAAAGCCTTCAGAAAACATTTAGGAATAATGAATCAAAATAGAGCCAAATGGGATGAAATAGTAAAATATTAACCAAGGGTAGAACCTTTGCGTGGTCTCACAGAGTCAAATCCCTGAGAGCGAAACGTCGGCAAAACCCAAGACACTCCCCTAAATCGACCCTTTTCTTAAGCATTATAATTAGCTTTTTGCTCATTTAATGTATATTTTATTTGCGCCAAAAACAGTTGACAGCCGAGTATTTTTACTAACAAGCACTTTCAGCTATTTATAATTGCGTCATTGAGTCTGGCGTAAGAAGTCAGAAAAATTTTTAAAAATATCGACATAAAAGTTCAAAAAATGATTTCTCTGTGGCACCTATAAAAAAATAACCACCCCTTTAAAAAAAACTAATCAATGGTTAAGCACATACGGATTTTGAACCTAGTAACGAATAGCCCCTTTGCAATGGAGGGGGAGGTGGTTAAAAAGAGAAAAGATATCCAAAAAGGTCGTACCTCCGATTAGGCCGATCAAAATCTTGACAGGAAGCAGTTGATTCCACAGAGTAGCTGGGGGCAACATCGCTGCAGTTGCGGTCGCTGTTCCGCCGGAAACAATAAAAACACTAGCAAGGCTACTACTGTTGCTGTTAGCTGTATTTAAATCAGCCGCAGGGAAAGAGCAATTAGGCCCAATAGGCTGCAAGTCTGTATTCTTCCCATCCCCCAAATGTCCCCCGGAAAAGACTGCGGAACCAATATCGATTGAAATAACGCTTCCAAAGCAGTCCGAACGCAAGTAAGTCATATTTAAATACGCCTTGTCTTCTAATTTGTCTCCGAGATAATTCAAAAGCCGGGTCTGAAATTGTTTCGTAATTGATAGAAAGGAATGAATGTGAAAATAAAAAACGGTTGTTTCGTGTTATTTATTGGAGCTGTAGCTTAGTAAGAATGCTTTGTTGATGTTTAATCTGAGGCCAAATTGGTAAATCTGTATGGTTGATTTTCACAAATTCAACTGAGATACTGCTTTAGAGGGAGGATTAGCGAGCCTTTTCATTGGCTGATCGATATATGTAATCCCTACCTTTTTAAGCGAACATGGCTTTTTTTAGGGCAAGATCTAGAGAAGCCATTCAACATAAAAACGTATTTGTTTTGTCAATTAAACCGGAATAAAAAAGAGAATGAACAATCCAAAATTACACCCGTTCCCAAAAAATAGACTAGATAAAAATATTAAATAGTAAATCTCAGTTAACATTTTTGCGTCTTCTGTTTAGAAAAACTTCATTCCTAGTTGTACCTCAGAGAAAAACAATTTTTAGGTGAGACTAAAAATAAAAATTTAAATTTTAAATTTTCAAAGTAAGTTTCGAATTTTTTTTTGCGTTTTACGCACCTGATGGAATTCGCTCCTTCGAACACTTATCTGGTCAACAGTTTTAAAAATGCTTTGAATAAAAACGTGTGCGAATTCATCACATTTCTCCAATTTAGTGTTCACTTAAATTTCTTATTGTTTCGAGAGTTTTAAAAATGGGGAGGAACTTTGTATTTGAGTGTTTTAGTTTTTTTTTAATTCCTTGCAAAATCAGTCCTTACAGTCGTGATTCGACCGGCTTTATAAAAAATCAAAGCAAATTTCCCTGTGTCAAAAAAAAACGATTTGAAACTTTTGGTTTTTGGTCTTAATTCAAATAATCAAGCGAGCGAGCAGGCTCACAATCGATTGTTTTAATGGCTCAAAGGCTTACAATACATTAATTTAAAAGGTAAAAACTTAGTGCTTTTTTGGGATCAAAAACTACAAAAATTCAAAAAAAAATATGAAAAAACTTTTTGATTTTTTAAGTTTTTTTTTTTCGTTTTTCTAGTCAATTTTGGCGCAAAAATTGTTTTTCCTTCTGCTTATTTGTTTATTTTTTTCGAGTATTCCTAAACTCTAGCTTTTCGTTCAGCTCCTTCTATCACAACACGCCGAGAAAAAAAACGACACTATTTTGAATAAAATTTGTTTGCTGTACTTTTTTAGGACTATGGTCGGAGTATTTTAGGCTACTTGCACAGTAACCAGCCATGTTTTTTGGGCAGTTGTTATTATTGCAGAAAATTATTTGTTGAGGTTAACTTTTTTCTGGTTATAAATTACATTTCAAATTTTTTTTGCCGAAGTTTTTTAGAAGAAGAGTTGTTTTTACTAGAAACAGCATAGATTTAGGCAAATTCTCATCAGAAAATGTTGAAAGAAAACATTTTAAAATAAATTTCTGTTTTGCTCTAACATTCTTTTTTGTTCCGACTTTCCAAGAAAATGACAGAGTACTTGGGATCAGGGTGGTTTTTTATTCTCCAGACAAATTTCGACTTTTTAACTAGCACTTTTTGACGGAATTTCGATTTATGTGCCAAAAAGTAGCGTGGCTTGACTCAATCTAAACCGCGGCGTAGGGTTTTAAAAAAATCCAAAAAAATCTTAATTTCGATTTTTTTCAAAGTCAGTCGGAACATTCAGATTTTCGCCCTGATACGAGCAGTATTATTCAAATTATTCACATTAACAAAAATTTGTCTTCTGAATTAAAAAAAGCAGGGTTGGATCTAAAGTTTTCTCGGGAAAACCATGCTGCAGACAGATATCAAATTAATACAAAAATTTTTCTCACCTGATTTTAGTTATTTCTTGTCTTGTGACTACAAATTAAAGATGGTAAAAGAAGAATATTTAAGGCAAGTTAAAATAAGCAATAGGAATAATATAGATTCCATATTTGAGTTAAAAATACAACTTGAACTAATTTGTTATTTGAATATTTATAACATGGAATCATAATGATGAAGCTATGCAAATATGAATTGCAGAGACTATTCTTGGAATCTTAATCAGTCACCGTAGAACTAATTTTAACTTTTTTATTGATTAAATAAGTCAAATAAAGGGGCACTAAGCGATATAGCAAGCGCTCCGATTAGCATGCGACAATCCTTTGTGCATAACTGTTGACCTACCATAAGTCGCTTTAGCAAAAAAAAACAACAACAAATTAGTATTTTTATCCACGCCTACTTTTATGGCTTGAGCCGAACGTTGATCGAGGAGTGACCAATCACCAGGCTCATATCGACCTGTAATGGCTTTGACCGAAAAATGACCACCGAGCAGGGGTTTGGCGTTAATTATAATATTAATTCAAATTTCGGTTTTCTGTTACAGCTACTTATTGCACCAGCAATCTTTACTACTTGCCAATAAAGCCTTTAAAAATTGCCGAGGCCGCGTTGACATCAAAGGCGGCATTAAAGCATCCGAAAAGAAGTTGAGCATGCAAATCGCCTCGCATTCAAATTGCTACGCCCCCTCAAATAACAGTTTTTTACAGAAAAAATTAATTGAAACATAATTTACTTCAGGTATTCAAAACGAGACAATGATGCATATCAAATATTAACAAGCTTTGACAATCATCTTCGAAACTTGAATGGAACGACCTTCACAAATTTTAGCTGTCCGAAAGACTATTTGTTGTGTTTGAAGCTTAACACATTTCCGGGGAAACAGATAAAATCTGTTAAAAAATGAAATAACAAAGAAACAGCGACTGTCTTCTGACTTAAAGAAACGTTCTTAAGCGAGGAATTTTATATGGTAACAGGATGTAACGTATAAACATATGTACGAGCGTTGGTGGAAATTTTTAGGACAAGATTCTTTTCCCAGGTTGAAGAGAATATTTTTGAACTTATCAGATTGCCTTGCCACACCATAAGTTACTTTCCTAATGTTTCCCATTAAGTAACATTTTTGTTCCAACTTTTTATAAAATGGGGAAAATATGGTATTCGGGTGTGTTAAGTTTTTTTTCCACGCAAAATCAGGTTCCACAAAATGATAATCGGAATGGGTCAAGTGATATATCATATAGTGTCGAGAAAAACTCGTTTAAAATTTTAAAATTTTCGTCTAACAGCGAGCAATTAAAGCGAGCGAGTAGGCTTTTTATAGGCAATGAAACATTAGTTAGTTTTTAGTCGAAGCTTTTTAGCGCCATTTTTGAGATAAAAACTACGAAAGTTCAATACTGCATAAAAAAATTGAAAAAAAATCTTTGAATATTTTTCAAATCGTTCTTCGACAAAAACTTGCCCGATTTGCCTAATTTACTGCGACTATCAAAAACCTAATTTTTAGGTTTTCATCCGACCCTTTCATTACACCACGCAAAAAGAAGACATTTATTTGAAAAACACTTTTGTGCATTTTTTGAGAATATGGTCGGAAGAATCTGTGTCTTTTGCACAGCAACCGGTTAACGTTGTTAGATTTCTGCTTAGAGATCACTCTTGTAGTCGAAGTACTGGTTAGAAAAAATCAAAATCCGAAATTCTTCACCTTTTTAAACAGAAAGTTTATGTATATCCAATAATTGAAAACGGGAGTAAAAATGAAATTGAGCTGCAAATTGATTTTTAAATTGAAACTGAAGTTTTAAATTTTAGTTTACCAAAAGGAATTTTATGATACTGTTATTGCAGTTTGTTAGCATTTGTCAGCTTTGTGATTAATTATATTAATTGCCAAAAACTAAGAAGGGAATTACAGCTTAAAATGGACTTTCTGAGCAGATCCGCTTTAAGTAGACGTAATTTTTGTAAATCCTTATTACATATGACAAATAAAAGTAAACACCGGTAATGATGTAATGCTTTAAATTTAAAATTTTAGAGCTTTTCAGATCGCATTTTATTTTGTATTTTGACTTTATTTTAATGAAGGGTGTCTTTGGTAATGTAAAACCCCTAAAGGATAAAAATTTGGAAAATGATAAAAATTTAGAAATTATTATTACAAAACATTTTACTAAGAAATGTAGGATACAAAAATGGGTCGTGCCAAATGGAGAAATTTTATCTACTTCAGCCTCACAATTTTTTCCATAGCTTTTGCCGTGCCGTTTTCCTCATAAAAACTTACAAATGTAGCCTTGTCTGTTCTTTCGCATTTAGACAATTTACCAAATTGATTCAAGGTTTTGGATATCAATCGTTATACGCAGAAGCTAAGCGTACTAAAAGTCGAAAAAACTTTCGTATGTCTCGATAGAAGTTCGTTCCAGGCAAACAAGCCAGACACTTGAATTTTAAATCAGCAGCAACGGAACAAAACTTAAGAAAAGAAACAAAGCCGACAATCTTTGAGCAGAAGCAAGTTGATCCGAAAAATTTTTATTTGATTAAAAAAAAACAGTTTAAAGTCGCACCTTAAATTACATTGGACAACATTTGCCCTTGCAACTACAATGAAAGCTGTTCATAGCACAAAAAAATTTAGTGATGTGGCAAGTAAGTCGACAATCTTCGAGCAGACACCAACAGAACCGAAAAAAAAAAAGATTTTTACGAAACTTTTAAAGTTTTTAAAATCTTTCATGCTGCGCCTAAAGTTTGTAATGCTGCCCCTGACATTAGAATGAACAGCATTTGCACTTGCAACTACAACGAAAATTCTCTACAGTACAAGCAAAAACCTTTGTGGCAATTTGGCTGACAAAGGTTACAAACAAACTAAAAACCAACAATTCATTTTTCTCGGATTTTTTTTTTCAATTTACTTGATAATGAAAAAAAAGGTCCGGCCACGGCTCGAAGCCAAGCTCTTAGGGTACACAGGCCACTGTTTTACCTCCAGTCCAAGGGAAAGCAACCTGGAAGATGTTAGGAGAAAAGAAGTGAAAAGAAGTCAGCAAATGATTCAACTGATTTTGTTAATCTAGTTGTTAACTAGAAAAAAAATTATAATGCAGTTTGATAACGCTTGCTTATCGCAAGCGTAATTATATCAAAAATTGGCGTAACCGGGTCCGAAAACCTTCAATTTTGAAACAAAAAAAAGATGAAAAGCAAAAAATTTTGAGAGTTGGAATTTCCAAATAAATAATCATATTGAAAAAGGAAGGCTTATTTGTGAAAAATTGATAATCAGATTACCATCAAAAC